TAGGCCACTGTAAGAGAGAGACTGGGCCCCCAGGAGTGGCTTCTTCAGATTCTCCCATAGGCTTAGATTACAGACTGAGAACCAGCTCAGGTTAGGGCAGTTCCTCCTCTCAGCTTTGCACGGTGGGCGGTGAGCTAAACAGACTGTGGTCCGGCTGTGGCATGCTGCTCATGCTCTGTCACTTCAGGCAGATGCCTCTTCTTTCCTGCTGTAAAGGGGTGACCTTAGTGTTACAATGTTGTCAGAGGGAGTCTGTGACATGATGGATGTACAGGGCCTGGTGTCCATGATGGCTACTGTTTTATTGTGCTTCGTTGAGAATGTGGCTTAGAGCGGTACTAGACCCTCAAAACATACACAAACTCACTCCTGGCCCAGAGGCTAAGAGAGGAGACTCAGTGCTTCTGCAATCCCTCTGACCCCTTGCTTCCTCTTTCCCTCTTATTCACGCCTCACTTTCCATCGTCTTTGGTTCTATATCTTCCAACGGCATCATCTCTTGACATCTCTGTGGTACCCACCCCTGGATCCAGACATCCTGGGTGTGGTGAAGCCCTGTTGTAGGACTTAACCTCTTCGTGACAGAAATGCAAAATGCTCCCCAACCTCCAGAAACCCCACCCACCTGCCCTACCAGCACTCCTTAAAGGAAACCACCTTAGAGGAAAGTGAAGCCATTTTAATAAAATGGCGGGGGCACAGTGGGACCTTATTAAAATACCGAGAGATTAACATGGCCTCTTTCCCCTCAATTATTAACAATGTACTTGTTCTTTGGAAAGTACCCATGAAAATTTAAAACAGATGAAAATGGTTGTTCACTTAAAACGGCTCCGTTAATCTGTGAGTAATGTTTTATTCAGTGCATTAAATGAACACTGAGGTTGGACACCTGCTGATCCATCTCCCCAGGGTACCACAGGCACAAGAATGGATAGAGATGGGGAATTATAGACCAAGGGACAGCTGAGGGCCAAATCAGGAGTCCTCTACCCAATTTACCATCCAGTGGCAAATTATGAGGTGTGCAAGAAATACTCGGGCAAGACGACAGCCAGGAAGCCGGCTGCAAGAGTAGGGGGAGGTGATAGCTCTGACTGATGACCTCAGTGGTCTTTTCTCTATTCCCCAGTATCGCCTATCTCCCGACTACTGTGTCTAGTCATCTCATTGATGTAAAAGGGAGCAGAGAAGTTTCCACATCCAGGCTGTAACAGCACAGAGAGAGGGGGAAGTGGCCAGCTGCTTTTGATCAGTCTGGAAGTCTGGTAAAATGGGCCAGTCTAACAGAGGAGGCATAGTTTCTGCAGATGGAGACAAGTAAGGTGGGCTGGATGGGGCAATGAGCACCCAGTGCTTCCTGGCAGAACTGTGAAGGCTGCACTGGATAGCTTTATTTTTGATGCCTGATGCTTAGCGCTTTTTTTTCCATTACCATGCATGAAGCTGGTTTTCATAGATAGGGTATCAATGTTTGTCAAGTAAATTAATAAGGGGATAAGTCAATGAGTAGATGAAGTAGGTAGAAACTCAGGCACTCACACATGCCTCAGTTTACTTTGTTGCAGGGCATTGGGGTGTTATGCTTCAAACTTTGGGATACTATCCCGGAAAAACTGAGTAGTTATGTTTCAGTCTTTTGCCTCCTGGAGGACCAAGACCCTCTGGTGAGTCTTAAGACTTGGTCCTTGAGTGCCTTACAGTGAAATCTACTACCTGTTAGCCAAAGCTGCTTTGGTGGAACTGCTCCAAGGGAGCACTGAGACCACAGCCCTGGTGCTGAAGTTGTAAGCTGCGCTTTGACTTCTCTCTACAGATTATGCTCTTTCCCCCAGATACCCCTAATAACTGAAAACAGACATGAAGACTGGTAGGTAAGGTTTGAGGAGCATGGAATGAATGGACAGAGGTGCAGACCACAGGGAAACCAAGTATCTATAGCTCAGCTATGTGTCTGTGTGCTGAGTGAGCTTAGGATATGTGCTGGGAATGGGGAAGGAGCCAGGATCAACTCATTCATTGATCTTTAGTGACTCAGAAAGAGGACAACATGAGGGAGGGACAAAATGGGCCTCTTGTGGGTATTTTCTTAGGGAAGGTGAAACAATAGAGCTGGTGCAGTTTAGACTTGGAAGAAACAATGATGCTTTTAAGGTCATGCCATCATTTATGCATCCAATGATGTTAGGCATAGATGAACTTGCCAATGACAGTGAAGGGAGACAGTGATGAGTGGAAAGGAATATATATTAACAAGTGATGAATTCAGCTAAAATTCAAATAGAGAGTAGCTGCTGAGATGTCTGGGCCTTGGTGAGATGAAAATGACAATTGTGCTGAGGACTAAACCACATGAACACATAGTCACATTTATGTTCAGGGATGAAGTACATATAGGATTAAGAATGCCAAGAAAGAGATCCCCCATGGAGGGCCTTACCTTCCCTGGGGAATGGAGTGGGTAGCTGAGGGGGGCTGGTTGGGGAGAGTGGGCATGGAGGGGAGAGAGAGGGAGCTGGGATTGACATGGGAAGCAAGCTTGTTTTTAATTTAAATATATAATAAAAGTGTTAAAAAAAAGAATGACAAGAAAGGCTTAGAAGCTTGAGTTCTCTAACCACATGGGCTAGATGTGGGACATTGGGTACATATGGAAGACTTGACAGAGATGTGTAGAATTCCTGGTGATATGGGCCATGAGGAATGTGAAACATGAGCTCTAGAAGGAATAGACCATAGAAGTTCACGGCAGACCCAGGGAAAGTAATTGAGCAGTATCAGGGATAGGAGTGATGATGACATGATGGTATCACAGCAGAGTCAGCAACCACTTATAAACAGTTAGATCATGGTAAGGATGGTTCCCAGTGGTAGAACAGGTGTGCAGGATGCAGAAGACCTTAGCCTCGCCATTGGCAACAAGCTCAACATATGGAAATGGTCAGGTTAGGATGGCGAGAGCCTTTGACCCATGGATGAGAAGGAGGCAAGAATTAGAAGAAAATAGAAGAGCAGTGAGAGGTGTTGCCAAGGACATGTTATTTTCCCAGAGGAAGTCCATGAATGAAGGTGCTCTTGAATGAAATAATAGACACCATTTTAAGTCCTTTGCCTCAGAAGGAAGTGTAAGTGTGCAGTCCAAAAGGCAGACAGAGGCTAAATGTTTTAAATTTACATTTAATAACATATGCTTTATATAGGAGATGCCACCTTTCTGAGTGCACATACCTATGAATTTTGCCAAATGTACATCTTGTGACTTTGTGATCATTTCCCCTACCACTACCACAGCTACTAGAAATTACTGTTTTGCTTCATGCTCTGTAGCTTGTTTTTTCTAGACTGTCCCATAAATGGGTTCACACAGATGCATCCACTGAGTAGATCTTGCCTGTGGATCCTAGCTCCTTTCATTTATCATAATACATTCAGATCAATCCACATTGCAGGAGATCCTTTATATTGCTGAGTTCATCGTATGGCTATACCAATAGGTGCTTGTCGATTTGCCTTTGGCACTTTTGGAATTTACCCCTCACAGATTTTTTTTATCATTCATGAATAAAAGTATTTTTAAAACCACATGCAAATGTTATGTGAACACATATCTTTCTGCTGATTTAATAGTCAATCATGAGGTTTCTGGGCATAAGATTAAGCGTGTTTCATTTTATATGTAACTGACAAGCCATTTCCGAAGTGTTTGCATCATTTTGCATTCTCATCACAACTTGTGAGATGCAGTTGTTCAGCAGCCTTGCATGAACTTGGTGTGCTGGGTTCAAAGGACTAAGCAATTCTGAGCCATGTAGAGCTAGACACTTAGAGGAGTGTTGATGGGTATCTTTATGTCTCTTTCACATACATACACATCCAAGGGGTTGTTTGTACCCCACAGAGAGTTGCATTACTACAGTAAAAATATCTAAGATACCAAAAATATAAAGAGAAAACATTTATTGAATTCTAAGTTTGCCAGGCATGACGCCTGCATTGGCTCAGTTCTGGTGGTGAAGGTAGCAGATGGTGGTGTGTCATGTCAGGAGTTTTCAGGGAGCAAAATAATGTTGAACATGTTGAACTAGAGGAGACAGGCAGAGAGAAAGAGAGAGAGAGAGAGATATCCTAGAGAGATACACAGATATATAGATAGATAATAGAGAGAGAAGAAGGAAAGAAAGAGAAGGAAGAAGATGAAGAGGAGGAGAGATAGAGAGACAGAGATGAGACAGACAGATAAAGAGAAAGAGTTCCATAACTACTTGAAGAGTATACCTCTGGTGCCTTAACTACCTTCTACTAGGCATTAGGTCCCTCCTCTAAATTTTCTATCCCTTCTTAACCGTGTCATCCTAAGATCAAGCCTTTAATGTATGGGCCGTTTGGAGGCACACAAAGTCCAAAATGCAAAGGATTTGATTAAACAGACCATCCAGAGGAAGTGTGAGCAAACGGAAGTAGGCTGGGGCAGTTGGTCAGGTCAAAGGAAGCCGACGCAGACGTCCTAGATCCTCACCACGGAAGGCTCTGCAGCGGAGATCCGTCTAGTGGTCACACGCTGCTGATGGGCTGCAATGCAGCAACAACATCCAACTCTGGTCAGTTTGGGAAGGTAATAGTGACTAGCAGTTTCAGGGACGCGGGAGTAATGAGACATAAGTAACAGAGTCCCAGGTAAAGCATAGACCTTGACAGCAGGAGACGCTCATTGTCCGAGGCAGGGAACAAGAGTCTTCCATCTGCCTCTCCAGCTTTCTCCTCTGTCCCCGGTAAGAGCAGTCTGATTTGAGGGTGGTATGACCAGCTGAAATAGACATTTTCTAGCTCTCTGGGAGACTACACTTTAGATATGCTAGCGACACTTGGTAAGTGGACTTCCAAGAAATCTCCTTCAAAGGGGAGGGCGAGTGGTTGGCACAGGGCCGCTTTGCCTTTTACTGTCTTCCTTCCTGGAATAGAGACATCAGGAGTATAGCTCAGTTACCATGTCACACATTTAGGATGCAATGATCCAGAGGATGGGAGCCAGCACCAAGGATGCCAGAGGTGAAAGACAGAAACCATTTAAACCCACATGATTCTACTGTGCTGCCAGCTAGCCGAAGCCTGCTGCTCATCAGACCTCCCTGTGGAGAAGCCCAAGCATGCAAGCATCACCACTGGATACATTTCCTAATAACTACAGATGTAAGCCTTTATGTGAAGATGTATTGTCTCTCTTGTTGACCTGTTTGATCCCAAATGAATTAACAAAATGATGTGTTTTGAGATTTAATTTGAAAATTTACCTGAAATTCACGTAGAAAAATAAATACTCAGGAAATGTGAAAACAGATGTGTGCTGGTAGGTAATGAGGACTACACTTAGATTTTAAGATTAAAAGAAATACCAGGTGTGGTGCTGGTGCATGGATAGGAAGTCTAATCAATGGCATAGGATGTAGAATCTCAAAATAGCACTGAATTCATGGGAGAAATTTAGAGTTACATGAAAGAAATCTCTCCACTGTTCTTAAATTAGTGAGAAAAGGATGGTTTATTGAGTAAGTGCTGTTGGCATAATAATGTAACTGACTGAAGAAATTTCTGTTGAATCTACAGCTAGGATATTAATAGACATCTTAATGCACATTCCAAACAGATCAAACAGATTTGAAAGTTAAAATATGAAGCCATATAATTATTAGAAAAACATGGATATTTACCTTCAGTCTCAGGATGGGCTAAACATCCTAAGGATGACAATAAACACACAAATAAGAGCTAGAAACCATTGCCCTGGCAATTTTAATTACACAAGAACCTACAAAAATTCTGCAAAGTAAATCCTGTAATAAACAAATCCAAACAATAAAACCTAGGAAGATGCTTGGAATTCTGGTTGCTGATGAAGGTCAAGGTCTCCACAAAGATCTCCCCAAAATAAGAAAAAAAGCTCCAGAGATAAATGGTCAAGGAAAAGAAGAGATAATTCTCAAGAAGTAAAGTAAAATTAACTTTGAAATGTGAGTAGATGCCATCCTTTACTGTCAGAAATTAAGGCTCTTTTCTTTTAATATTTTTTGAGACAGGGTCTCTTTGTGTAGTTCTGACTGTCCTGGAACTCCCTATGTAGACTAGGGTGGCCTCCAACTCACAGAGATCCTCCTGCCTTGGCCTCTCAATTGCTGGGATTAAAGGTGTACACCACCATTCTCAGCCTCTTTTAATATTGTAACATTGTTTCCCACACAAGCTGTCAACAATGCAGATTGGGTACAAGTTTTTGATAAACATTTCCACAAAAAGCCTTGGTGGAGGTTGCATAAATAGGCTGTGCCTCTTACTTTTCTGAGGAGCACTTCAACAAGCAGATGTCGACCATTCTGTAGGACCCTCGTGGACATCAGAGCACCAGCCTTTAACATGTTGACCATGAATGACTACAGTATTAGTCCTTACATTTTTCCAAGAGGCTCTATGTTTTCTTTCTATGTGAGTAAAATGAGGCTTGGAGAAATTAAAGCCAGTTAGTAGAGTTACATGGGAAGACCTCTCATGCTCATGAATTGATAAAGTTAATATAATGAAAATGAACATTCTACAAAAAGCAATTTACAAGTTCAGTGCTATCCCTATCAAAATCCCCACAACATTCTTAATGGATATAGAAAAACCCATGTTAAAATTTATATAGAACCACAGAAGACCTGAGAGCCAAAGAATTCCTGAGCAAAAAGAACAATGCAGAAGGGATTGCCATTATAGATTTCAAGATACGTTACAGAGCTACAGTCATAAAAATACTATGGTACTGAAATAAAAACAGGCATGTAAATCAATGGAACAAAAATAGAAGACTCACACATTGATATATGTAACTATAGCCTTCTAATACTTGACAAAGATGCCAAAACATATACCAGAGATCAGACAGTATCTTCAACAAATAGTGCTGGAAAACTGGACGACCATATTAGAAGAATGAAAGTAGACCCATATATGTCATCTGCATAAAAATTAACTCTGAATGGATAAAATGTCTCAATGTAAAACCTGAAACTCTGAAACTTCTAGAAGAAAACATAGGCAACAACCTACAAGACATTGGTGTAGGAAAGGACTTTCTAACCAGGACTAGATTTGCCCAACAGTTGAAAGAAGGACCTAAAAAATAAAAACTTCTGTGCATAAAAGGAAGCAATGAAATGAAGAAGAAGCCAATATATAGAGAAGCTTTGTCAGCTGTATATCTGACAGAGGATTAATATCCCAAATATATGAAGAACTCAAAAACCACTGTCAGGACAATAAATGACCTAATTTAAAGAAAGTAGGTCAGGGATCTAAGCAAAGAGCTCTCAGAATAAGAGATGAAAATGGCTAAGACATATCTCTAAAGACATCCTTAGCAATGGGGATATACAAATTAGAACAACTTTGAATTTCATTTTACTCAACCATAAACATGTCTTTCTTTCCCTCAACCTGCCTTCCTCAAGCCCTCTTTGTCTCTCCCCTTCATCCTGCCTTTTCATCATTCTACAAGCAAATGCCCAGGACCAGATGTGCACAACAGATGTGCTCATCCAGGCCCTCAGGCTTCTGACTGACTTCCTACAGATCAGAGCATCATAGGAACCAGGTTCATGTGGCCAGGGGGCTGTGAGCTTGAGAAGAGTCCTGGGCCACTTGGTGCACTGTTCTCCTATGCATCTCTGAGTACTAGGCTGTTTTCCTACTTGTCTAAGCAGAAAATCTGGGTTAAGAAGCAAGATCATTAGCATGTGACATCCGTAAGGCCCTGGAACTCAGAAAACTGCCAGGCATGAGTGAACCCAGGCACTGCTTGTTACGGAGGCCCAGGCCATCGTAATGTTTGATTTTGTTGCCCTTGTTCTCATCAGAAGCAGGTCCTGGAAGATGAAGGCAAAGGACATGGGGCAGATCTGAAACATCCCCCCTCCAGGCTCCTGATGAGAGGAGGTGGAGGCTAGGGATAGGACAGCACAGGAGGATGTACCTGTGGGCCTGTGTGTATGTGATCCAGTTACAAAAGACCCCACCCTCCAATGCCTTCCCTGGCATCTTTTCCCTTCTTGCTCCCTCCCGCTCCTCTCTTTCCTGAGTACCTTTCCTTTCCTTACCCTTTACCTTCTGTTCTTACAAGATAAGATGCAGTCTCTACTACAGCCTTTTAGGCCCAAGAATCATAAGAAATATTTTCTGTTCTTTGTAGTCTACCCAGGCCCAGGTATTCTGTCATACACATAAAATACATGAAAATACACTTGAGCAGAAAATTATAGAAGGTAATGAGCCTCAAAGTGTCAGAGTGCTCCCATCCTGAAGGACACTGAGGACTGTCACTGCTGTCCTTTTCATAGGGAAGGCCACCAAGTTGTATCTCTTTCGGGATCTAAGTATGCTTTCTGGAGATGGTCCTTCTGTCACCATCTGGGAGCTACTGCCTAACCAGTCACTCTGTCATGTGGAGACCTCAAGACTTCAGCTCACACAGCTGCTCAGACCAGACCTTTGACTAACCTCTCTTGGTGCCTGCTTTCCTGCTCGAATTGCTGCTCTTTCTTGCGCCTCTTGGCTGTGTGTAGCCCACAGGCAGCCCTGTTGCTCTTAGATTGACTCTGGGGATGCCTCTTGCCCACCTCCCCCCCCCTTGTCCACAGTCCCTTAGCTGGGGATGTTGTAGCTTCCATATTGGCCATGCTGATAGATCACTGCTGTTAACCTCTGATCATTTGTCAGTTTGTCACTGCTGTTAACCTCTGATCATTTGTCAGTTTGTCATATCTCCTGGCTTCATTGTGTGCTCTTTGCAGCCGGGGCTTGGGTGAGGCATGATCAGATTATGTACTGGTTCTTTATAGTGGCTTCCTAGCTAACTAGTGGGCCATAGATAAGGAGTGGGACTAGCTTTCCTGAACCAAGCCCGAGGGGCTGGAGGCTGAAGCTCAGCTCCAGCATGGAGAGACTCCAACTTATTGTGAGGAGGCTTTCCCTTGGGTAAGCATCCAGTTTGACCCATAGCTCTGTGGCTGACAATCCACATCTCAGCTTAGGCTTCTGAGTGGCATATTTGTCACCACTTCAGTGTGTAATCATGACTTTTTTTAACCACCTTCATAGTCTTTAACCAATTGGCTCTGTTCTGTCTTCTGCACCTTACAGAAAACAACGAGTCCTGCTTACACAGCCTTCACATACCCAGTGAGTGATGGAACAGGACTGCACAGCATAACTACTGTTCCTACAGGCTGTCTGCTCTGACTCTATCCTGCTTGGATGCCTTTTTTCATTATGTACAAGTGGGGTCACATCAGTCACCTTCTTTTTTTCTAAGCTCCCCGTTCCCTTGGAAGTAGCCAGCTTCAGAAGAAGCAACTTTTGCTAGTAGCTGGGAAGACTGATTCTCTGGAGCTGGTGAGCCACCACAGGGAAGTTTTTGGCTCACTTTCCTCTCTGAGTGATGAATGGATATACTTCTCATTCTTCAAGGCCCCTAAAGAGACAGGCAGACACACATTCTCAAGAAAGCAGCTTGCTGAGAAAAAGCAAGCTGAAGAGCCTGCACCAAGCATATGGTGCCTCCTCCATTCCTTCTGGAAACAGGCTCTTTGGGTAGTTGGAAGGAGATTGGCACTCAGCTTCGTCGTCTGCAGCTCACCCACCTCTGCCCACAGGTTGAGAAATACACCCAGAGTCTCAAGTGCATCCCTAGGGATGATGGGAAGCTCTTCTCTGCTTTTCTCTTTATCCTGCCTCTCCTCACTTGAGCTCCAGAAAGTAGGAAGGAAGCATATTGGCTGGTAGGGAGCTCTGAGATGGCACAACTCTGCCAGGAGTTGCTGCCTTCTTCCACACACTGTAAGTGGTTGCTCTTCCTGAGGTACTTTCCATTTTCATTCTCACATCCACTCTCCAGAGAGGAGATGGTGGCCCGGGCCTGGCTGGGCATATATTCCTTTTGCAGAAAATGCCAGGGCAACAAGAAGAGTTCCTTGGCAGGTGCTCTGAGAAGCACTCTTCCCTCTGGAAGTGTCCACAAGCTTTGGCGACAGGCCTATATCCAGGCAGGGACTCTGAGATCTGTTCTGTGGGGCATCCTACTTTGGAAGTGACCAAGAGGGAATCATGACTTGTGGTTTTGAAATCTCCTTAAATGAGGCTTAGATTGTGCATTCTTGGAAAATGTCACCAGTTCCCAGAGTTCATGGAAAAGCAGATTACCTAAATTTGTTTTTTAGTGACTAACAGGATACTACAGGCTGGGTGGGTCACAGAGGAATACATTTCTTATAGTATCAGAGGCTCAGAGTCTAAGATCATGGCATCAGCATCTGGTGAGGGCGTTTTTGCTGCCTTGTCACATCGTGGAGGAGATTGCATCATAGGACAGAGAAAGCATGGTAGAAAAAGTTACCTTTCCACTTCTGGGAAACCCATTAATCCATTATGGGCATCTTATCATAGCATGGTAGAGGAGACTGCATCATGGGACAGAGAAAATATGAAAGCACAAGTCACTCTTCCTTTTCTGATAAATCCACTAACCCATCATGAGGTTACTATCATAACATGACAGAGGGCATGACAGGATGAGACAGAGAAAGTATGATAGAACAAGTCGCCCTCCCTTTTATGATAAATCCATTAATCCATCTTGGGGTCATGTCCTCATAATCCCGTTCAGCTCTACTTACCCCCAAAAGGCCACCGCTCCAAATGCCATGAAATTATGAATTTGGAGACTAGGTTTTTGTCACATTGACTTGGGAATGGGGCATAAAAACCATGGCAGGTGGTAGAATTTAACTGAAGAACCAACAGTATGCACTGCATGTCACATGAGCACACTGGGACCATTAGGTGGTCAGAGGTTGGAGTGGGTGAAACCATCATCCCAGAAGTCTAGAAGTCTAGGTTATGATGTCAACACTCAAAGGAAGTGGGGTAATTACTTTATGGATCTGAGTTTACACTTGATACTGTGACTTCCCATATGGTTTTGGCAATCCCTTCCAGGCTACCAGTGAAATGAAGGGTAGCCTCACCTACTTTAGGAGGCTGGATAGGAGATAGGCTTTGGGAACTAATTGAGACATAACTACATAATAGTATACAGCTTAGGGTACAAGGACTCCATGTGTTTGGCTTCCTTTCCTTTAAAAGGGGAAAAAAAGAAATGTAAGAATGGGACCTATTTCATGGGTAGGGCTAGAACAGTACAATACAAGGCCATGATGCATATGTGCTAACTTTTAATAATGATCAGTACCTTAAAGGGTTATGTGGCAGTCAGATGAGACATACCTGTACATATGATAGTACAATAAGCACTCACTTGGAGGAGTGTTGCCAATAATAGTGTTACTATAGATGTCCAAGATGGATCGAATGGACTTAAATCCCCATCTGTAAAGTGGGAACGGTGCCTTCTAGTCCTCCCTTGTACATCTATCTAATATACACGAACACTTTTTGGGAATGTGATCTCAGCAACAAGATATTCCCGTACATATATATGCTGCCCTCCCACGCCTTTAAAAATAAGACAGAATCATCACTGTGCCTCCAATAGAGAAGCAAAAAGACAAGAGGGTAAGGCAATTGCCATCTGGAAGGAGGGAATCTTAATTAAGAACGAGAAAGGGAGGGTAACAGAAAGGACCCAGCCAGGTCCACATGGAGGGAGCCTGTGGGTGCTCCTGCACTCGTAGAGCACTGGGGCACAGAGCCCTGTTTTTCCACCAGATGGCAGTGGGGGGTCCTGGGAGATGGGACTAACCATCTGCTGAGGTCCTAAAACTTTCCGTGGAAACGTCCCTGAATTGCCGTGGGGTGTCTTGAGCTCTCTAGGATGGGGATGTAGCATCTGCAGTGTGACTTTCAGAACAGGATTCCTGGACCCACAGCATCAGCACCACCTGGTATTTATTTATTTTTAAATGCGTTTCTTTGGGACCTATTCTGGACTTCCTGAAGAAGGGACACCTTAGGTGGGGTTCGCATTCTTTGTCTTACAGACTCCGGGAGCCCATGGAGCATGCCAGTGTTGGAGGAGCTTTGGTCATAACAAGAAACGGTTATGGACATCTCCCAAGTTGTCAGGTGGAGCAGCACGAACATCTGCCTTTCCCCTTCTCAGTGTGCAAAGAGCCTGAGCGTGGGTGCTAGACAAGCCTACATTTAAATTCCAGCTTAGCTCTTTGCTGCTCGTGCAGCTTAGCGAAGTTTTGCTTCTGTGTCTCATTTCTAAATCCAGGTAATAACCCAGCCCTCAGGGTCATTGTCAGAGTCAGACATAGCATCTAGGACACAGGTTCTTCATGAAACAAGAAAACAAATGAGGAAGCCTTCTGTCATCCCTACCTCCTCTCCCTGCCCCCAAGAAGTTCTCATAATGTCTTGCCTATAATAGATGACTGTATATAAATAAATTAATCTGAAGCATCCTCAGAGCTTGCCATCTGCAGCGGATTCCAAAGGGATCATTCATTGTCTTTCTTATGTTTCCCAACAGACATTGAGCACATTGAAGAACTGCAGTGGGTGTGGAGAACACGCTTGAACAAACAAAAATGAAAAGCTTGTAGGGCTTCATAGCTTTTCTGTCCCCCTTTGCCTTTTTATATACTAGTGCAGATTTTCCAAGCAGCGTCCAACCCAAGGTGGTGAGATGGTTCAGCGGGTTAAAAAAAAGGGCACTTACTGTAGAAGCCTGATGACCTGAGCTACATCACTGAAAACCATGTAGAAGGAGATGATTCACTCCTGAAAGCTGTCTGATTTCCACAGGCAGGCATGCTATGGCATGAGTGCCTACACACACACACACACACACACACACACACACACACACACACATGCATGCACACACACACAGACAGAGATACAGAGACACACAGAAAGAGATAGACATACAGGGTGATAGAGATACACAGAGAGACAAATAGAGACAGAGATGCAGAGACATACAGACAGACATAGAGGGAGACAGACACACAGACAGACAAACAGACTTAGAGACAGACAGACAGACAGACACACACACACACACCTACACTCAATGACAATTTCTCCTTCCAAGCAAAATATATGGTTATGAGGTTATTTTCACTGTGAAGAGTTCCCTTTACAGCTTTCTACTTCTGGATGGTGTCTGCTAGTGTGCAAAACCATCTATAAACCAAGTCCAATTCTTCTCTTCTGCAGATTATAGAACACACCCCATGAGACTGTAGATGCAGACCTGGGAACAGAAGGCATTGTAATGGGAGTAGGAACCATAGGAATCATTTAGGCAACTTTGTCATGTAAGCTGCTTGTGTCTTCAGGACCCACTTGGACATAATTGTGTATATACCACTTCTGTTTATAGTTTATTTCTGCTGTGCACAACATACTTAATGGCTAGATGGGTTAGATAATACCCAGCTGATGATGGGCAGCAGGAAGGAGAGAACTGAGTCCTGACATCCATAGACATGTGCAGTTTTTTTTAATTCTATGCCCTTGAGGGCTGGTGCCACCCAGCTCCCAAATAAATACACAGAAACTTATGGATGCCAGCCTTAGCTTGGCTTATTTCTAATCAGCTTTTCTAGTTTTAATTAATCCATTTCTCTTCTTCTATATTTTGCCTCTGGGCTTTTACCTTTCTCCATTCTATATTTCTTTCCTTCCTTCTTACTCTGTGGCTAGTTGTGTAGCTGGATGGCTGGCTCCTGGCATGCCCTTCTCCTTTTTACACTCCTCTCTCTCTTATTTCTTCTGCATTTCCATCTCCTGCCTAGCTATTGACCATTCAGCACTTTATTAGACCAATCAAGTGTTTTAGGCAGGCTAAGTAACACAGCTTTACAGAGTTAAACAAATATAACAGAAAAGAAAGCAACACATCTTTGCATCATTAAAAAATATTCCACAGCATAAGTAGATGTAGCACACCTTAAACTAGTATTTTACAACATGAATGCTATGTCATGAGGGTCTGTACCACACACTTATCACACATATACACACAGGGGTAGGGGTAAGGAAGGAGTGTGAGAGAGAAAGAGCGAGAGGCCCAACCTAAGTGTGGATGGCAATGTCTGATGGCAACACAGGTAAAAAGACATAGAAGATGGGAATTGGTCTTTTTGTTTGTTTTTATTTTCACTCATGAGTTTCTCTACCCTGTTGCTGTGGCTTTCATTAGACTCAGATTTTACATAGACTGAAGACATCAGCCATCTGTGGATCCTCCAGGCCTTCAGAACCAGAGACGGTGCTGCTTGGAGTTTCTGGGAAGTCCCTGTTGGTGAATCAGGGACTCTTGGAATTCTGGAGCAACACTCTACCATCATCTGAAGACAGCTTTGAAAGATAATACTTAACCTACTTTGTGGCCTTAACACTTGAGCTCTGACAATAAGCTAAAATGTTACCATATGACCGGAGCTGTCCACCATCAGCTGGATGTGATCTAACCCAGCAAGCAACAAAGTATAATGAGCACAGCAGCAATCAGTCACCAAATGCAAGTGACAATCCCAAGCAGGTCATAAGGACACAGCAAGTTTCATGAAGTTGACCTAGTATCTATGGTTCCTACTCCTGTTACAATGCTTTCTGGTCCCAAATATGCATACATGTCCTCATGGAGTGTATGACTGAGAAATAGAAAACTAGGGCCTGATTTACAGATGGATTGTTCTGCTAACATGTAGGCACCACCCAGAAATATACAGCTATAGCACTATAGCTTATTTTGTGACAACCTTGAGAATACTACTGAAGGGAATCTCTTCACAGTGGGAATAACTTTGGGCAGTGCCCATAGTCACACATTTTTCTTGGGAGGAGAAGATGCCAGATGTGATTATATACTTATTCATGGTCTATATACAATTGTTTGGTTGGATGGTCAGAGACTTGGAATGTACATGACTAGAAAATTGGTAGGAGAGATATTTGGGTAAGACAGATGTGGCCAGATATCTCCAAATGGACAAAGGAGAAGAATATAATTGCATCCAATGTAAATATTCATCAAAATGTGGCTTCATTAGCTAAGGAGTTCAATAATCAAGTAGATAGGAAGATCTCTTCAGTGGATAATTGGCATCATTCTTGGGCCACCCTTGTCATTTCACAGTGGGCTAAAGAACAAAGTAGCCATGGTGGCAGAGATGGAGACTATGCAGGGGCTTTACAACATGGACTTCAAATCACCAAGGCTGACCTGGTTTTAACTGCTGTTGAGTTCCAGATCTCCCAGCAGCAGAGATCAACAATAGCCCCCAGTGTGGCATCATCTACAAGATAGTGGTAGGATTATTACATTTGACCAGTTCTGTAATGGATGTATTTATGCTTTACTGTTATTAGAATAGATAACTATTCTGTTTCTGGATTTGTCTTTCCAGAGTGTAATATTTCTGCCCAAACTACTATCTATGGGCTTATAGAATGTCCTTTCCACTATCATGGTACATGCTTCTGAGCAAGGAGATCACAATTAAACAAGTACAACAATAGGCCTATGCCCATGAAATTTACTGATCTTGTCATGTTTCCCACCTCTAGAAGCATCTGACTTAATAAAATGGTAGAATGGCTTTTTTATTTCATTTATATTTATTTATTTATGTATGCATTTTTTCATTTAAGCTAGCAACAAGCTTGTATTCACATGTAGATCCCAGCTCTCTCTTCCTCCCCTCCCCCCCCAGCACCCCAGTCCCTACCCAATCTCCATTCTGATCCCCAAGGAGGATGAGGCCCTCCATGGGGGATCTCCAGAGTCTGTCATTTCATCCAGGGCAGAGCTTAGGCTCTCCCACAAGAGTCCAGGCTGAGAGAGCATCCCTCATTGTGGGATGGTCACTCAAAGTCCAATTGTATGCTGGGGATAAATACTACCCAAGGCCCCATAGATTACCTAGGCCTCTTCACTGACACCTACATTCAGCGGGTCTGAATCAGTCCCATGCTGTCCACCCAGTCATAATTCTGGGGTCCAAGAGAACCCCTTGTTCAGGTCAACTGTTTCTGTGGATTAAAACAGCCCAGTCTTAACCTCTTTGCTCATCAGTTCTCCCTTTCTGTCACTATATTCCAGGAGTTCAGTTCATTGTTTAGCTGTGGGTGTCTGTCTCTGCTTCCGTCAGTCACTGGATGAAGGTTCTGTTTCCCAGACTCTCTGGCAGTGGGATTGTATGCCGGCAGTCCCCTGATTCATGTCTAAAAGCCATATATGAGTGAGTACATACCATGTTTCTCTTTTTGTGACTGGGTTACCTCACTCAGGATGGTTTCTTCTAGTGCCATCCGTTTGCCTGCAAATTTCAAGATTCCATTGTTTTTCTCCACTGAGTAGTACTCCATTGTGTAAATGTACCACATTTTCTCTATCCACTCTTCAGTTGAGGGACATCTAGGTTGCTTAGAGGTTCTGGCTATTACAAATAATGCTGCTGTGAATATAGTGGAACAGATGTCCTTGTTGTATTAATGTGCATCTTTTGGGTATATACCTAAGAGTGGAATTGCTGGGTCTTGTGGTAGGCTGATTCCCATTTTCCTGAGGAATCTCCATACTGATTTCTAAAGTGGCTATACAAGTCAGCACTCCTACCAGAAGTGAAGGAGTGTTCCCCTTTCTCCACTTCCTCTCCAGCATAAATTGTCATTGGAGTTTTTTTATTTTAGCCATTCTGACAGGAGTAAGATTATATCTCAGAGTTGTTCTGATTTGCATTTTAGACTCCTCTACTAAGAATTCTCTATTTAGTTTTATACCCCAATTTTGATTGGATCCTTTGGTGTTTTGGACACTTACTTCTTGAGTTCTTTGTAAATTGGAGATCAGCCCTCTTTTAGATGTGGGGTTAGTGAATATATTTTCCCAATCTGTGGGATGCCTTTTTGTCTTACTGACTGTGTCCTTTGCTTTACAGAAGCTTCTTAGTTTCAGGAGGTCCTATTTATTGTCAATCTTAGTGTCGGTTCTACTGGAGTTAGAAGCAGCCTCCTGTACCAATTTGTTCAAGGATACCTCCCACTTTCTCTTCTAACAGGTTCAGTGTGGCTGGATTTATGTTGAGGTCTTTGATCCATTTGGATATAAGTTTTGTGTGTGGCAATAGACATGGATCTATTTGCAGTCTTCTACATGTCAGCCTCCAGTTATGCCAACACCATTTGTTGAAGATACTTTCTTTTTTCCATTGTATAATTTTAGCTTCTTTGTCAAAGATCAGGTGTTCAT